CAGCCATCACTGGCACCTCGCCGGCCACCGTTCCCAGCCTGTCCGTATAGTGTCCGTACGGAAAGTACTGTTCACACACCGTGCGGATCACTGTTCACCCGTCCGTACACCGCACCGCCGTCCGCCGGGAATTCCGCCATCGGTTTCACTGTTCACCAGTGATCGACCGCCGTTCCCCGACGTCGTGACTTTGGATTAGGTGAGTAAAATTCCTAAACCTGGATTAGGACTGATAGTGCGTTTTTCCTGGACTGGTTTAGGTATTATCGGTGCATTTTGGACTGGCTTAGATAATAGCAGTGTGTATTTCAGACTGGGTTGAGGACTGATTGGTAGAAATTAGGGTTAATACCACGAAAAACCCTAAACTGGTACACTTGTGACACATTTACCCCAAACTATTTTTTTGACCATAAAAAACCCCAAACTGGTACACCTGTGACAATTTTACCTCGAATATACCACAAAAAACCCCAAACTAGTACACATATGACAATTTTACCCCAACTAATTTTTAATATTATTTTTTAATTTTTTTTATTATTTGAATTTTTTCTTTTTTTCTTCACTTCAACCTCTGGCCGGTCGCCGGTCCGGCGACCGGCCAAAGGCCGAAGCCGGCGAGGGCCGCCCTCGCGGCCGCCGGCGAGGGCCGCCTCGCTCGACTCGGCAAGGGCGACCCTCGCCGGATCTAGCGAGGGCGGCCCTCGTCGGCGTCGGGGCGAGGGCCGTCCTCACCCGCCCGAGCGAGGGCCGCTCGCCGGCCGGCGAGGGCGCCTCGCTCGACGCGGGCGAGGGTCGCCCTCGCCTGAGTCGGGCGAGGGTCGCCCTTGCCTGGGCGGGCGAGGACAGCCCTCGCCCGACGCCGGCGAGGGCAACCCTCGCCCGACGCAGGCGAGGGTCGCCCTTGCCAGATCCGGCGAGGGTAGCCCTCGTCCGATACCGGCAAGGGTCGCCCTCACCTAAGTCGGGCGAGGATCGCCCTTGCCCTGGGCAGGCGAGGACAGCCCTCGCTCGACGCCGGCGAGGGCGGCCCTCGCCCGACACAGGCGAGGGCAGCCCTCTCCCGATACCGGTGAGGGTCGCCTCGCCGGATTTGGCGAGGATGGCCTCACCCGACGCCGGCGAGGGCGCCCTCGCCCGACGCAGGCGAGGGCGGCCCTCGCCCGATACCGGCGAGGGTCGCCCTCGCCGGATCTGGCGAGGACGGCCCTCGCCCGACGCCGGCGAGGGCGGCCCTCGCCGGCTTCCGCCTCTGGCCGGTCGCCGGACCGGCCAGAGGTTGAAGATAAAGAAAAAAAAAATAAAAGGAAAAAAATAAAAAAATAAATAAAAATTCGAAAAAAATAAAAAAAATAATATTAAAATTTTAATTCAGGGTAAAATTGTCACATATGTACCAATTTGGGGTTTTTTGTGGTAAGTTCAGGGTAAAATTATCATAGATGTACCAGTTTGGGGTTTTTGATGGTCAAAAAAATAGTTCGGGGTAAAATTGTCACAGGTGTACCAGTTTGGGGTTTTTTATGGTCAAAAAAATAGTTTGGGGTAAATGTGTCATAAGTGTACCAGTTTAGGGTTTTTCGTGGTATTAACCCTAGAAATTATTATCGGAAAAATTTAGTGGATTAATGAGAATCATTGGGGAGGATAATGGGGTTTAATGATCAATTTAGGAGCTTGTTGGTGAAATTGCCGGGTATACCCGGGTTGACTGATTGTACGTCAATTGTGCTTAATTGTGGTTGATTTCGTACTGCTATGTCGTATGTTGTGTGGCTGATTTTGTGGAGTGCGATTGGCCATTGTTTGGTTTACAATGAATTGCTGATTTGTGAATCGCACGTTAGGCCACACGGTATTAATTGGGCCAATTAAGCACGTGTTGTGACATTGGGTGTCTGAATTATGTTGGTGCTCGTGGTGCATTGCATTGCATAACATGGACACGCATTGCATATGCCAAGAGTGAGGCATGTGATGAAATTGTGCGAGAATGCGTGTCTGTTACGAGCATGTGATCACCTAAAATACCCCGAAGCGTTATACGCGGGTTCGAATAATAATGAGTTGTGTGATCACCTACGGACCTTCGGGTCGATACCGTCCTCATGCACTTTGAAGCAGGACGATGCCCGGTACGTCCGGAAGGCGACCATCCTCATGCACTTTGAAGCAGGCTCTGGTTCGCAAGGAGATCAGTGTTGCGCCTCATGCACTTTGAAGCAGGCTAGAGACACTGGGCCAGATCGGTTGCTGCGCCTCATGCACTTTGAAGCAGGCTAGACGCACCGGGCCGTGAAAAATTGATGACTCGAGTCGTAATAATAATTAATTGGGCAAGTGTGCCAGTGTGGGCCAGTGGGTCAAAGAAATGTGCATGACATGTCAATGACATTTGCATGCATAAACATACATTGAATAGCATGCGAGTGTGTGAGACTCGGTGTATGAGCATGTGATTGGCGTACGTGTGATAATGTGTGCCACGTATGTCCCGTGATTATTACATATTGAACTGTCTAACCTGCACGGTCAGAGAATTGTATGATTATGGTTGTGTTATGATTTTAAATGTTTGTTTCCGGTCAGGAGATTGCATGCAAGCCTAGCCTAGGTTTAGGGGTTGAACTCACTGAGATTCGTCTCACGGTTGTGTAAACCGAAACATTTTCAGACCCCCAGCAGTAGGATGCCGAGGTCACCACCTCTTTTTGGAATACCGCATTTTATCCGGCAATCGTCAAGCATGCACCCCGGTGGGGACGGAGCAGAACGGAGAAGTGGCTGTTTGGGTTATTCCCAGCTGTTGGTGTTTCCTTTTTAGTTGTAGTGAACACTGTAAAAAGAGTTTTAAAATAGTAATATAAGTATGTATATATTTTCTGCGTTGATCGTTGTTTATTGGATGGCTATCCTTGGCTCATATTGTAGTTGTCTGGGTTTGTTTATTTTATGCTTCCGCTTGTGTTTGATCTCTGTATGGGTGTGGGTCGGCGACGCTTCCTGGGACGTCGCAGTCAAACGACCGAAGGTGGGATGCTCGCGCTTCGTGGGGTACGGGGCGTGACAATATATGTGATGAAAGCCATGGCAGTTCACATAAATTTTGATCATTGTCGTGTCCATTCAGCTTTAATTTTTCTCCATGGATGGTGATATACTATATATTCATATTGGCCCGTTTCCAAACAGTTTTATGTCTTTGAGGGAAGATTATTTGTCTAACCCGATATCACAACAAAGGTCACGTTTATGGACTTTGAAACTCCTTATTTTAGCTCCTTCCTATTTCTATTTCCCTTGTTTTCTTGCCTGTCGATATTTATTTGACACGATCCCGCAACGCTCTACTTACAAGTGGACCAAGGAAAATGGAGTAAACAATTAAGTCCTCCATTGACGTCGAGTGTAGGTCCATATATGGGAATTTGTCCAGTCTTCTTCACTGCGTGGAGGACTCTCCTCCATCACTTCCAGCGGGATGTGATGTGAACTTTTGCGTCACTTTCTCTCGCATCACATCTTTCGTTGCCGACAGAAATGTTCTTGACCATGCTAACTGCATATTAAAATACATTTTTCAACCAAAAACATGAAATGGTAATCATCTCATGATCGGGGTAAATTTACCCAATTGAGCTAGGAAAAGTGTCAAAAAAAAGTCCTAAACATTTAATATTGGTGCCAATTTAGTCCTAAACCTTATGTATTTGTGCCAATTAAGTCCTAAAATTTTTTTTTGTGTCAATTTAGTCCTAATCCTTTTCATTGATGTCAATTCAGTTCTAAACCTTTTGTCTTTGTGCCAATTCAGTCCTAAACCTTTTGTTTTTGTGCCAATTCAGTCCTTCCGGTCAATTTTGGCTGGATTTTGCTGACGTGGACGCCGGCCGGCCGATAGTCGGTCACCGACGCTGACGTGGAACACTTTTAATAATATTTTAATATTTTTTTTGAATTTTTTTATATCTTTATATCTTTTTTTCTTTTTTTTCTTTTCAGATAGTCGGTCGCCGATAGCCGGCGACCGGCTAGAGGCCGGTGAGGTCATGCCTCGCCCAGTCACCGGCGAGGCTGGACCTCGTCAGATCTGCCAAGGCCGGGCCTCGCCTGACGAGGGCAAGCCTCGCCATGGATCCAACGAGGTCGGGCCCTGCCCAGCCGCTGGCGAGGCTCGAGCCCTCGCCGGAGGATGTGAGGTCGAAGGCCTCTGGCAATGGCTTGAGCCTCGCTAGTGGCCGGCGAGGTCGACCTCACCAGCCTCTGGCCTCTGGCCGGTCACCAATCTGGCGACTGGCTAGAGGGAGGAGGGAGGGGAGGGAAAAAAATAAAAAAATATTAAAATATTTTAAAAGTTGTCTACGTCAGCACCGGTGACTGGCTGTCGGCCGGTCGACGTCCACGTTAGCAAAATCTAGCCAAAATTGACCGGAATGACTAAATTGACACTAATGCAAAATGTTTAGCATTGAATTAACACCAAAAAAGGTTTAGGACTAAATTGGCACCAATGCAAAAGGTTAGGACTAAATTGACAACGAAAAAAGGTTTAGGACTAAATTAGCATTAATGCCAAAGGTTTATGACTTTTTTGGCACTTTTTCCCAATTGAGTCTATAACACCTCATGCCAAAATATATTTTTCTTGATGATGGCTGATAACGATCTCTACACAAAAAGTAAGAGAAAATATAGCTCAAAACACTCATTAGTATTTCTGAAAAAGAAAAAAAAACCGAAAATAGGACTCCGTTGTGCATTTGTTGAATTTCATACTTTTTTGGCAACGGATTCATTATTTAATAAAGTAGGTTGGGATTATATTTCAGCAGTATTAAGTTTTCGATTTGTGAATTATCTCCCAGAAAACAAATTTGATATTTCTCTTATTCACTGAGAAGCAGTGATCATTTACTTGTTTGTTGAATTGGTGGTGTCGATTCTTCTATAAATACGTCGCTTATAATTAGTCCATTTCAACACATATGCACCTAGAAACGAAGAAAAGCCCACCCCAAATAACCTCAAATCTCTCATGGTTTCGTCTCAGAAACAACTCTCAATGTTGTTCCTCCCTTACCTCCTTCTCATGCTCGTGCAACAAATGCCTTGCCTCGCTACATCTCGAAGCTCTTCTCTAGTGGCCCTTGCGGGTGCTGGTAACCAAACGGTAAATGAGGAAGTGGAGGCACTCCTAACATGGATGTCTAAGCTAGACAGCGGGAGTCGCAATACTTTGTCTTCGTGGAATGGAAGCAACCCTTGTTCATGGCGTGGAATTGATTGTGATCCTCTGGGGAGCGTTGCGAATCTTTCAGATTCTGCCATACATGGTATGCTTCACCATCTCAATTTCCCCCATTTGCCCAACTTGGTCACCCTTAAGCTTGCCAACAATCAACTCTTTGGGAACATCCCTCCGGGCATTAGCGATCTTTCCAAGCTTACTCGTCTGAAATTATCTCGAAATAATCTTTCGGAAAACATTCCAACTCAGCTCAAGTCATTGCGATCTTTACAACTTCTCGATCTTAGGGATAATGATTTGTCTGGCCCAATTCCCATTGAGATATTTAGCTTGAGCAACTTGACCGAACTATACCTTTCAGTTAATAAGCTTTCTGGTTTCATTCCTAAAGAAATAGGAAGGCCTGGGTCATTGCGATCTTTACAAGTTCTCGATCGCAGGGATAATAATTTGACTGGCCCAATTCCCAATGAGATAATTGGCTTGAGCAGCTTGACTGGTCTGTACCTTTCGAATAATAAGCTTTTTGGTGTCATCCCTCAAGAAATAGGAAGGCTTAAGTCTCTCATTTTTCGCCACATAGCGGACAACCGCATTGATGGTCCTATTCCTTCTTCTATCGGAAACATGAGCAGCTTGTTGAAGTTATGGCTTTTCCGTAATCAACTAGTTGGGTCCATTCCAAAGGAAATAGGAAAGTTGGGGTCTCTTAGTGAACTTGACTTATCTTCTAATTATCTCAATGGATCTATCCCTACAACTCTAGGAAATCTGAGTAATTTGGCATTTCTTTACCTCTATGACAACCAACTTTCTGGCCCTATACCTTTGGAAGTTGGAGGAATGAGATCCCTCATACATTTCCAACTGCTTAACTAATGATTTAACAGATCCTATCCTGTCATCCATAGGAAATATGAGCAAACTGAATATCCTTCAACTTTACCAAAATAAGTTGTCTGGTCCTATTCCCAAAGAACTAGGAATGCTCAGATCTCTCTCTATACTCGTGCTTATAGGTAACAGTCTCTCTGGCTCGATTCCATCCGCTATATGTAACTTAAGCAAGCTCACAAACCTGCAGCTAAGCAACAACAAGTTTGTTGGCCATTTGCCACAAGATATTTGCAGTGGTCGAGTTCTTCAATATATTTCTGCCAGTGACAATCACTTCACTGGTCCAATTCCGCGAGGCCTAGAAAACTGCACAAGTTTGTATAGAGTTAGGCTCGATAACAACCGGCTCAAGGGAAATAAATCTGAGTGGTCTCGGCATATACCCTTACTTAAAGTATCTTGATTTGAGCAACAATGAACTTTACGGTGAGCTACCACCTAGACTGGATGAATATAGCAATTTGACAAGCCTGAAAATCTCCAACACTCGAATCTCAGGCGTGATACGCTTTGAGCTTGGCAACATGACCCAATTGCATATACTTGACATCTCTTCAAATAGTCTTGTTGGGAAATTCCAGAAGACCTAGGAAAACTAAAGTCTCTTCTAGAGCTTTCACTCTATGATAATCATCTCGTAGGCTACATACCTCGAGAACTAGGAACATTGTCTGATCTATCAAGAATTAACGTCGCAGGAAATAACCTAAGTGGCTTAGTTCCTGGAGAACTTGGGGAGTGTTCGAAGCTTCAAATTTTTGAACTTAAGTAGAAACAGTCTTGATAGAAGCATTCCCATTGATATTAGCAATCTTTAATCCCTTCAAATTCTCGATCTGAGTCTAAATTTACTCACGGGAGAAATACTTGGACAACTTGGGCTATTGCACAAATTGGAAACACTCAATCTTTCACACAATCAGCTTTCAGGCTCCATTGCGTCGACCTTTGATGATATGGCAAGCTTGACATCCAATGACATATCGTATAATGAGTTAGAGGGTGCCTTACCAAACATTCCAGCCTTTTTTTGTAATGCTACAATTGAAGTTGTGAGAGGAAACAAAGGCTTGTGTGGAGTAATTGCTAGTCTCAATCCCTGTACAGCAACAAGGTTGAAAGGCAAAAACAGAAGCAAAAAGCTGCTACTAATTTTGATTCCCACTTTCGGTTGCTTACTTTCTTTGCTTCTTGTTGTGGGAGCTTCAAGTATCGTATGCCGAAGAATAAGGAAAACAAAGGCTAGTTTGATTGATGGAAGCAATGAAAACCCATGGGCAATATTGAGCTTTGATGGAACGATGGTATGTGGAAACATTATTGAAGCTACGGAGGAGTTTGATGCCAAATATTGCATTGGTGTGGGAGGACATGGGAGTGTTTACAGGGCCCAATTGCAAACAGGTGAGATTGTTGCTGTAAAGAAACTTAAAGAAGCAGTGGACGTCCTTACCAAAAAAAAAAAAGAAGCAGTGGACGTCAAAATTGCCAGTCGAAAAGCATTTGAAAGGGAGATTCATGCTTTGACTGAAACTCGTCATCGGAATATCGTCAAGCTCTATGGCTTTTGCTTGAGTTCTCAACATTTATTTCTGGTGTACGAGTTCTTGGAATGCGATGGCTTGAAGGATGTATTGAACAATGAAGAGAGGATAACAGCATTTGATGGGAATAAGAGAGTAAATGTTGTTAAAGGTGTAGCTAATGCTTTGTGCTACATGCACCATGAATGCTCTTCTCCTATAATTCATCAAGACATATCTAGCAAGAACATTTTACTAGACGAAGAATACGAAGCTCCGTCTCTGATTTTGGCATGGCTAAGGTTCTAAAACCTTATTCATCCAATTGGACTTCCTTTGTAGGCATCTTTGGATATGCAGCTCTAGGTAAGTTGGTTTCTTCGAAATTTCACCCACTTCATTTTATATATATATGAAAATGCTATACAAGATCCTCATCCTTACCTGCCTTGCTTTAAAAGTCTATTTACCTAACACCAAATTCAAAGCTATTAGCACGGTTTGAAGGTTCAACGAGATTTAGGCCCATCGGTTAATAAATTGAAACTTTTCCCTAAAGAAATGAAAATTTTATGATCCCACTGAACCTAGAGTATGCATCGATTTATAGTAAATTTGATTTATTCAAAATCAGTTTAGATTGATTGAGCATGGATACCGTATAAAAGCTAGAAAAAATCCGATCTTTTCTCTATGTAGAACTCGCATACACAATGGAAGTAAATGAGAAATGCGATGTTTATAACTTCGGAGTGGTGGCATTGGAAATAATCATAGGACGATATCCGGGAGATCTCATATTGTCTCTTGTGTCCTCATCTTCATCATCCTCCCGCCATTCAACAGCTTCTTGGCCACTGAAAGAAGTTTTAGATCAAAGAATTTCATACCCGAAAAGTGATGTGCTAGGGGAAGTGGCTTTTGTGACAAAGATGGCATTCTTAAGTCCCAAACCAGAGTATCGTCCAAGCATGCAACAAGTTTCTCGTGCAATAACGACACATAGCTCGATCGTGTTAACTGCATCAGAGGACATCAAATTGGAAGAACTAGTTGATCCTACTTGCTTCACTTATTGAGATATTTTGGTCTTTCTGTTGCACCCCGTGCAGCAAGCTGTCTCTTCTTGTATTTTATTTGTCTTAGTCAACTTCATTATTTATTTTTGCAATGTTTCATTGATTACTCCATAACACTTAGGAATCACTGCCATTTGCAATTTCAAGTCGAAAGAGACGGACTACAGCTGCGACTTCCAATCCTTAAGAATGACTTAAAATATAACAAGATCGTGATATTTCTTGTAGCTATTGCATTTGCTTGTTACAATTCTTCGCTCTTGTCATGTAGAATCGTAAAGAAAAGGTGTTACGCTCAAAAGGTGCTAGAGCACAATTGGTATAAGCTGGCATCAAGCTTTATAAACGTCCACCAACATCATAAATAAAAGAAAAACTCAAATGCAGATTATAGTACGATTTGCTTAGATCAAATTAGGTAGGTAACTTTAAATTTTTCAAAGAAGGAGACCTATTATGATCCAGAAATATAACATAACCATTCAACTAGAGCAAGCAAACCACAACACAAAACCAATATAAAAGATTTATAACCAATTTAAAAGAAAGAGTAAAAGATAAAATGTAGTAAAGTAACCTGATACGATTTAATCAAATATTAATATCGGGCCCTGTTATTAAGCCTTGGGATAGCAACCTCCACGAGTTAAATCCAAATCGAATTCGATTTCTTTTCCAAGAGATGAATCTACCGCCGAGACAAGCAGACACGGAAATAGAACAATGTATCTGTGTCACTCTCGGTGGGTAGGTAAAATCTCACAAAATCATGTTTGATGACTAACGAATCGATCAGTAACAAACAAAATACACTAGCCTGTCTTCAGATTAAACGAAAGCAGGCAGTTATCCCACGTACGCCTGTCAGAGACATTTCATCAAACATATGGTGAGTGTCTCGGATAAGGGTCCTATCTATACGCAACGCTAGCGCGATGTTTCGATTCAACAGTATCGCATCAGCGAAAATTCAGACCAAATCGTCAACGACAGCTCTAATTTTCGCTCTCTCTCAGTGTCGAACGAAGGACAAAAAATGATTTCTCAAGAATGGTCCCCTCCCGGTGAGTGAGCGCGCGCGTTGCAGTTGCCAGACGAAGGTGAGGGAGAGAACAAAGGGTGCTCTTCCTTTCTGAATCGAGCTGCGTCTTTGAGGCATTTGTATTATTTTATTTTACTATTTTGCCTATGACTTTTATACCATTTCTCAATCTTATATTACAAATTTGGGTTTATTTTATATTTTTTAGTATTTATAAACTTAAATATCAATTATTAATGAAAAGTTAAATTTATCTATTCTAAATAAAATAAGGGCGGGCCGAATTTCAAGACCCTGCCTTGCCCAGCCCGCCCATTAAAGGGCTAACGGGCCCAATCCTTTTTCGGACAATAGAAGAGGAGCCCATGATAATCAAAATCATTAATCGAGTGGACCCAACATTGGGACCCACATGATCGACGGTCTAGACGAGGTTCGGCAGACCATGTAACGTTTTTTTGCGCGATGACATCGAGAAGAGAATCAAGTCAAGTCATTGTGCAATACTCCTATAGATGGTCAGGATCGACAAAACTGTTGGGGCTTTTCTTGTGTGCACATGCATATCCTTTCGGAATGCTCTTGACTTCCACATCCAATAACCAAATTAGCAAGAGTAACCAGCTCCCTCAAGAAATCTTTATCTTGTGTGTTATAAACAATTGGGGCTTGGAAAAATTTAAACTAAGGATCTCCAACTCTGATACCATATGAGATTTTATGAGATTATCATCGACTATTCTAAAGCTTAAGCTGTCAGATGAAAGCGTGATTTAATATTTAATTACTCTAACATAGTCTCTCTTTCTTTTTATCGTTCAAATGAGATAAGCTTTTCCTTTGCCCTTTTGTTAGCTCTTTTTTCCTTTCTTCAGCTCTTCTTCACCGACGCTCATCATCTTTGTTATTGAAGGTCCAGCTCTTCTTCAACTGCGCTCAACACAGCTTTCCACTACAATGGAAGCTCCTTGCAAAACTGATTCCTTTGGGACGAGTTCGGGAACCTCGAACGAATTCCCTCACCGTGACCCTGTGATTTTGGTATGATCGACATTTTTTCCTCTTGCTTGTCAATTTTTTTTCTCCTTCCGTTTCGTCGCTCCTCTTCTGCTTTGGTTGTTCTTCTTCTACGGAAAATTTCACGTCGTGGCTGTGGTTTAGCTTGATTTCAAGCCCTCTCAAAGACGAAATCCGTTCTGGAGGGTTTTGATTCTGGTGCTGATTGGAGTTTCATCAGTGGTTTCGATCTTGTTTATTGCCTTTAGTGGCGACTTAAGAATGTATTAGCTGTTAGTTTGTGGAAGGTTGTGTCTGTGTTCAATCGAAGCACCCATTGTTGGAAGAGACCACCGCCTAACGTCTATAGTGCAAGCAGACCGCGATTGAACGGCATTGCAGCAAACTGTGACTGGTCTTTAAGTTCTTTAAAAGGAATTTTTCCTATTTTGTAAAATTTGTTAGTTCAAATGCTATTCATGAGATTGAAATTATTTTCCAAATGAAATCTAAAAACTAGAATTCGTTTTTGATCACATATCACCAAACAAATAAAAATTAACTAGTTTTTTAGAAATGATTTCTTGGAAAGCACTTTCCTTTATCATGAAGTTATCCTCAAAACAAACGCACCCCTAATTTTGTCTCACTCTTTCTATTTTGCTCGTTCACATTCCATGTCATTATGCACTCGACATGGTCACATCTGCATCTCACATTTCACGTGTAATGCCTTACTTAGACGAGAGATGGAGTATGATCCAGCTCGATCCACGTGGGTCAAGCTCCAAATGAAATATCTAAAGTAATCGGACAAACCGACCGATCATTTATCGTCATAGATATCATTGATTCAAGTGGGATGTGAACTCTTGGGTCACTCTCTCTTCCATCACATCGGATCTCATACGCTCTTTGAAGGGATTTTTCTTCGACCAATGTTAAGTTATTAGTCAAGTTGTGATGTGAGACGAGTGGATCACAATTCACAAAGAAGTATCTTTCTTTATTGATGATCGTTGGTTGGTTTACTAGTCAAAGTCATCTAATGAGACCGGGGGGTTGCAAATAGAGGGCCACGCATATCAGATGTACGGTGTACAAGTTGTGATGTGAGACGAGTGGATCACAATTCACAAAGAAGTATCTTTCTTTATTGATGATCGTTGGTTTACTAGTCAAAATCATCTAATGAGAGCGCGGGGGGGGTGGTGTTGGCGGTGGTGCAAAAGAACGAAGCTTCCTAGTCAATTCATATATCTGAGTTATTGAAGCAAAGACAAAAGAAGTTTTAATTTGGAAACCAAAATGAAGTAGGCTATCCAACAGCTTGTTCCGTGAATTCGTGTTTTACTTTTGTTCTGCACATTAAGTTCAAACTTTCGAGTGCAAATCCGACAATCAATGATATTCCATGGTAATGTAAAAAAAAAACTCTGCTTTCTGTTACTGTAGTTTCACTACTTTCCTAATCATTTCTCCGCACTTTCACTTTTTTTAATCAATTCCTACTAATTACAAGATAAAATATACGCACACTTGGTCTGACATGCCCCAAAGATAAACACAAGGGACAAGCGATTGCAACATGCTACTCTGATTATTACAACTGTCCGGCGGTTTCAAGCAGCTAGATTTCTTGGCCTCATCCTTGGCCAACTGCTCTGTCCGAGGCCTTCCTTGTGCCTGGAATATGTGGCTGGTCATGATCTTGGTGCACGAACGAAGTGCAACTGCACAATTGTAGCTTGAGTGGACATTGGCTCATGCGGACCTTGGCTAGCGCATGACTCAGGCAAGAAGGTGAAACGCACACTGGGGGCTTAGTGCTCGTGACCAGGTCATGTGCACTAGCTGGGTCCGTGACTTGGCCCCGCATGTGGCCATGCCTTGGCCGTAACCCGAGCCATGTCCTAGTGAGTGAGCTCGTGAACCAGCCCCTTGTCATTAGGATCACCCAAGAGCAGCAACCCGTGCTTCACCCAAAGCTTGCGATTTCCGTTTGCATCGACCGTTCCTTCCTCAATGCCATCCATTCATGCTCGATCATTGGTTGCCTTTCTCACGCACGCTTAGTCCCTGCTGGTGATCCGTGCTTGGCATGAGTTCAAAGCCGCAGCCCGTGCCAATGCTCTGATTCAAGGGTCTAATAATAGGCCACTCAAAGGATACAATATCTTTTGATCACTCAAGAACCCTAGGAATCTGCCAAAAGGGACACAGAGAAAAACAAAGAGAAGATAACAAGATAACTCCCGAAAAGAAATTTTATTAAGGGAAAAAACTATAAAAAAATCTCAAACTATGCCCACTGTAACACATTTACCCTAAACTTTTTTTTGTGACACCAACAATTCCAAGTTTGTACCTGTGTGAAACATTTACCCTCCGTCAAGGTTCCGTCAACGAACACCATTAAAAATCTGCTAATATAGACACCGAAAAGCAAACAGTGGCACCCACGTAGCTTAAGTGAAATAAAACTGATGTTATATTGACTGAAAAATCATCTGACGGAACTTTGACAGAGGATAAATGTGTCACAGACGTACAAGTTTTGGGTTTTTTTATGTCACAAGAAAATTTTTTTAAGATAAATGCATCTCGATGGGCATGATTTGGAGTTTTTGATATCACAAAAAAAAAATCATGTAAATGTATCACAATGGACATAGTTTGAGGTTTTTGGTAGCTTTTTTCCTTTTATTAAATAACTCAATCCTCTTGTCTTGCAATGAAATACTCAAAAGTACTTATTGCTATCACATTGTAATTCTATTATGTAACTTCCAAGTAAGGCGAAGATAACTAATCTAAAATACGCAATTCAAATAAAAAACATTATAATCAAATTCCTAATCTAGGATAGAATAATCCTAAATAAATTGAAATCATAACTTACAAACCAAGAAGGTATAATGCCCTCAGATTTACTAAATTATGCTAGGAAAAATATTAGAATTCTACTGAATACTAATTCTATAATAGGACATCAATTGGGCAAAATATCTTCAGCAAATCTCCATGCTCTCCTCATTGCCCCCCGTGTTACACATGATCCAGCTGACGTGGTAGTCAAAGAATACTAGAGTGTGATGTATTAGGATTCGCCGCACAATCACAAAGAAAATAGAGAGTAAAAAGCGAGAAAGAGAATTTGAGACGCAAGGTTTTATTCTGATTTACCCTTAAACTAGAGTTACGTTCAGCTGAGGATTCCACTATAATTAACACATCGCACCTCTTTGTTACATCTCTCAATTACAAAAGAAATAGAACATATATAGGAAATAATTTGATTCAAAATAGGAAACCTCTTTCTAGGGACCCCCATGCTATCTAGTTGTTGGGGAGTATGAACCACACCCCAACATGACGCAGATTACATATTTCCTACATAGACACCTACATTGATAGCGAATGGGTAGGAGAATGAAAAAATAACAGAAATAATGTATTCCCTTCACAATCCGTGCTCATGAAATGGTGTTCGCATAGGCAATAATTACTCCACGTCATGCTTCGGCACCCTCTAATGGCTAAGTCAGTTGGATTCGATCGGATTTTGTGCCGGAGGGACTAGTTTAGACAATTTTGTAATAGTACAAGGAGGACTTGACCAGAAAAATTAAAAGTACAAAAACTTGATTAGAAAAGTTGTGAAAGTATAGAAACGAAATGTAGAATGTTTCCCGATAGTATATCCCACACCTCCAAGAGAGAGATTAAATATCAAATTCCATGGCCCACAGGACAGCTAATTAATTAACTCGTGGATGTGCTTTGGTGATACTGTCAGTTTCAATCTTGCTGTTGCATTGAAGATGACCAATGACTCGGTTGTTGACTTCATTTGTCCACTACGGTTCTATAAATGCCTAGGGCATACATGGTTCATTTGCTAACACATTCGCGCCTCTAGAAACAAGAATACCTGTCATGGCATCATCTCAAAAGCAACTCTCAGTTCCATTCGAGGTACTTTATCTTCTTCTCGTGCTCGTGCATAATATACCTTGCCTTGCTTCATCCCAAAGCTCCGTTGCTGGTGTAACTAACGAAACAAAAGACAAGGAAATGGAGGCCCTCCTGAAATGGAAATCTAAGCTCGACAAGGAGAGTCGCTCTATCTTGTCTTCATGGAATGAAAGCAGCCCTTGTTCTTGGCTTGGAATCGCTTGTGATCCTTCTGGGAGCATCATCAGCTTGAACCTTTCGAGTTCTGCCATATGGGGCACGCTGTACCATCTCAATTTCTCCCAATTGCCCAGCTTGGTCACCCTTAAGCTTTCCAACAACTCACTCTACGGGAACATCCCTTCAAGTATTGGTAATCTTTCCAAGCTCACTTATCTGGATTTGTCACGAAATCGTCTTTTTGGACATGTCCCTGCTCAACTTGCATCACTTGGATTGTTACAAGTTCTAGAGATATCACATAATAATTTGACCGGTCCAATTCCTAATCACATAGGTAGTCTGAGCAACTTGTCTGGCTTACATCTTTCGGATAATAAGCTTTCTGGTTTCATCCCTAAAGAAATAGGAATGCTCAAATCTGTCAAATTTCTGATGTTAATGAACAATCGCATCACTGGTCCTATTCCTTCTTCGATAGGAAACATGAGCAGCTTGATAAAGATGTGGCTTTTCGATAATCAACTTGTTGGGGCCATTCCAGAGGAAATAGGAATGTTGGGGTCTCTTAGTGAACTTGATTTATCAACCAATTCTCTCAATGGCTCCATCCCTATAACTTTAGGAAATCTGAGTAATTTAGCATTTCTATACTTCTATCGAAACCAACTTTCCGGTCCCATACCTTCAGAAATTGGAGGAATGAGATCCCTCATACATTTTCAGCTGCTGAATAACGATCTAACAGGTTCGATCCCATCATCCATAGGAAACTTAAGCAATTTGAATTTCCTTTTCCTTCACAAAAATAAATTGTCTGGTCCTATTCCAAAAGAACTGGGGATGCTCAGCTCTCTCTCTGTTCTCATGCTCTACGACAACAGTCTCTCTGGCTCGATTCCTTATACTATAGGTAATTTGAGCAAACTTGAGATATTGGCCCTAGCCCAAAATGAGTTGTCTGGCTCGATTCCGAAGGAGATAGGAAAATTGCAACTCCTCACAGCTCTGCATCTATTTGAGAATAACCTAGAAGGCTATGTTCCCATCAAGATTAGTAATCTCACATCACTCTCAACCTTTGAAGTATCAAATAACAAGCTTGTTGGTCGACTGCCACCAGATATATGCCATGGTCAAGTTCTTGTATGGCTTACTGCTTCTGACAATCATTTCACAGGAGCAATTCCACGGAGCTTAAAAAATTGTACAAGGTTGTATAGAGTTAGGCTCCAGAACAACCAGTTAAAGGGAAGTATTACTGATGCTCTTGGCATATATCCCAACTTGGATTACCTTGAGTTGAGCAACAATGAACTTCGTGGAGAGCTTCCGTCCACATTGGGTGAATGGAGCAATTTGACAAGCCTGAAAATCTCCAATAACAATTTATCGGGTGAGATACCATCTGATCTTGGAAAGATGACTCAATTGCATATATTAGACCTCTCCTCAAATAATCTGTTTGGGGAAATTCCAAAGGAACTCGAAATGCTATCGTCTCTGCTAGAGCTTTCGCTGGATGGAAATCATCTTTCAGGCTACATTCCTAGAGAAATCGGAACACTTTCCAATCTACAGAGGATTAACATCGCAGGAAACAACCTGAGTGGCTTGATTCCTGGACATCTTGGGCACTGTGTGAACCTTCAATATTTAAATTTTAGTGGAAATAATCTTGATATGAGTATTCCTATGGAGATTGGAAACCTGCGCTCTCTTCAAAATCTCGATTTGAGCCAAAATTTCCTTGCGGGAGAGATACCTGGACAACTTGGGCTATTGTACAAATTGGAAATACTCAATCTCTCACACAATCACCTCTCAGGTTCAATTCCGTCGACCTTTGATGATATGGCAAGCTTGACATCCATCGACATATCTTATAATGAGTTAGAGGGTCCTTTACCAAACATTTTAGCCTTTCGTAATGCTACAATTGAAGTTGTGAGAGGGAACAAAGGCCTGTGTGGAGTTATTGCTAGTCTAGACCCCTGTACAACAACAATGTCGAAAGGCAAAAACAAACACAAAAAGCTGCTGCTAATTTTGATTCCTACTTTAGGTTGCCTACTGCTTCTTGTTGTGGGAGCTTCCAGTATTTTATGCCGAAGGGTAAGGAAAACAGAAGCTAGTTCGGTTGATGGAAGTAATGAAAACCCGTGGGCAATATGGAGCTTTGATGGAAGAATGGTTTATAAGAACATTATTGAAGCCACGGAGGAGTTTGATGTCAAATATTGCATCGGTGTGGGAGGACAAGGGTGTGTTTACAAGGCCCAGTTGCAAACAGGTGAGATTGTTGCTGTAAAGAAACTTAAGGAAGCACCGAACGTAAAAATGGCTAGTCGAAAAGCATTCGAAAGGGAGATTCATGCTTTGACTAGTGCTCGACATCGAAATATCGTCAACCTATATGGCTTTTGCTCGAGTTCTCGACATTCATTTTTGGTGTATGAGTTTTTGGAATCTGGCAGCTTGAAGGATGTATTGAGCAACGATCAGAGGATAACAACATTTGACTGGAATAAGAGAGTGAAAGTTGTGAAAGGCGTGGCTTGTGCTTTGTCCTACATGCACCATGAATGCTCACCTCCTATAATTCATCGAGACATATCGAGTAAGAACATTTTACTGGATGAACAATATGAAGCTCACGTCTCTGATTTTGGCACGGCTAAGGTTCTAAAGCCTTATTCATCGAATTGGACTTCCTTTGCAGGCACCTTTGGATATGCAGCTCCGGGTAAGTTGGTTTCTTCAACATTTCACCCCACTTCATTATATAGATAGGATAATGCTAATACAAAATTCTCGTCCTAACCACCTTGCTTTAAATTTCAAAATACCAAAGACAAAATCCAAAGCTACTCATAGATTTGAATTCAAAATTGATTAGTTGAGATTCAGGCCACCAATTAGTAAAGTGAAACTTTTTCCTAAAGAAATGAAAATTTTAAAATCCCATTGGGATCTAAAGAATGTATTGATTTATACTTAAAAATATAAATTTCAGTAGCCTCTTCATTAAAAGGAGTGAAGTAGAATTTCCCTATGTTGATAAATAATCGAAAAGAGTCGCTTAAATACCCAACACCACAACACCCCCTCCCCCTCAATAAAAATAAAAAAAGAAAAAACTTGTTCTACTAAGCACCAATGGCACGTAGTGATACTTTTTTAATTGACAAAATCATTTAGATTTACGAAGCATGATTATTGTATAAAAGCTAGACAAAATTTACTCTTTTCTCTATGTAGAACTCGCATACACAATGGAAGTGAACGAGAAATGCGATATTTATAGCTTTGGAGTGACGACATTAGAAGTAATCATGGGAAGACATCCGGGCGATCTCATATCATCTCTTGCGTCCTTGCCTTCATCATCATCGAGCAATTCAATAGCTTCTTGTTCACTAAAAGAAGTTTTAGATCAAAGAATTCCAAACCCGGAAGGTAATGTGCTAGGGGAAGTGGCTTTCGTGACAAAGATGGCCTTTTCATGCGTAAGTCCCAAACCAGACCATCGTCCAAGCATGCAACAACTTTCTCGAACGATATCGGCGCATGGCTTGATCATGCCAACCGCACCAGAGGGCATCAAATTGGAAGAATTAGTTGATCCTACATGCTTCATTTATTGAGATATTTGGGTATTTCTGTTGTAGCCCGGATAGCAAGCTGTCTCCCATACTTTGTTTAGCTTTGTCGATTTCATTATCTATATTTGCAATGGTACATTAATTACTCAAAAACACTTGGGAATTACTGTCATTTGCAATTTTAACCCGGTAGAGATGGGCTACAGTTGCGACGTCCGATCCTTAAGAATGGTTTAAAAGATAACAAGATCATGATATTTCTTGTATTTATTACATTTACTTGTTACGATTCTTCGCACACTAACGCGAATCAATTTGGCTTGTCATTTAGAATTGTAAGCACTAACGCCAGAAAATGTGACTAGCTCAAAAGGTGCTTGAGCACAAATGGGATAAGCTGGCATCTAGTTTTATGAAGTTTCCTCGAATTCTTTTATTTGAATCCGTACCGACATCACAAACTAAAGAAAAATCCAATGCAAATCAGAGTATGATTTGCTTAGATCAAATTACCTGCGTAACTTTATATTCTTCGCCAGGAGAGAACATAGTTTAGTATGAATATTTTTAGGGATAAGTGTTAAAAAAAATTAAACTTGTCGTGGATGTGCAATTGAATTCTAAAACTTTCAAAATGCGAGATCAAATCCCAGAATTTGTCAAATTAGTGTAATCTAAAATCTGCATTAGCTCCGTCTAATTTCCCTCATGGAAAATGCTGACGTGACATTTTTCTATATTATCTAAATAAATATGGTGCTGTATGAGCCACATCAGGATAAAAATTTAAAAAAAAAATTAAGAAAAAGGAATAAAAAATTTAGAAGAAAAGAAAAAAAAGGATAAAAGAAGAAAACAACGAAAAATTAACCAAAGTGCATATCGAGGATTTAGTTGGGGGGGCGGACCTGCTTCATGGGCAAGTGTAAGTTGACCGTTGAGGGCCCGTGGACCTCGCCTGACCCTCCCGGAGAAGTTGGGGGGCGATGGCACCGGCCCTTCAACCACCTCTTGTAGAGTGTGTTTCCCCTTTTTACCTTTCGTCCTTCTTCAAACTTTTTAATCTTTTCTTAATCAAAATCAACATCGTGTTGGTCATTGTTGCACTATTCATTAATATAATGGCCATGTAGGAAAGAGAGGTAATATAGAGAATCACATCAACATTATTTGTTGGCCAAATTAGAGAAATTAGCATAATTTAATTGCATCAATTTCACAAGGTTTATATCTTAATTACATTTTTTGAAAGTTTTATGACCCAATTACATTTTCATAACAAGTTTTAGAACTTCTGACATACTTATCCCTCATTTTTACGTCCATTACCATTGAAAGTGCCCAAGCCAGCCCGAAAGAAAACATGGGCGGGCCAAGGCCCCCAACAAGCCACCTTTTTCTTAAAGTTGCATTTAAAAATAAATAAATAAAATAGATTGATTAAAGTCCCTGCTTATATTGAGTTTGCTCTGTTTCCGGACTTTTAAGTCACTTACAATTTATCTAATGTCACCAAGAGGTGCAAAATGAAATGGAAAATTGATTTAGATTAGGGAATTTTAATGATTGGAAAAGTTAATATGAATCCAAACATGCTTGCCCGAGGAACTACGAGCAACTCTCAAATAGTTGCTCGGGCTTCCTGCTTGCATGTATTGAGAAAAAGGGAAAACTAACTAGTCCAACAAAGCTCCGATCGGCCGATATAAAAATATTAATTGATGGCAAAACTAGCATAAATTTTTAGGCCAGATCAGGGAATAGTTCATCCGAGTCCACAGTCATTACGAAATGTTTAGTTCGAGCCATAGCTACACTGCATTACCCACGACCCGAATGTGTGAGGTTAATGAACCAATCACTAGAGGCCCATCATGATGCTAATAGTTAAGAGTCTCTTCACACGAAATATATCGTGGTTAGGTAATTCACTACGAGCCGATCAAAAGTTTGCTCGTACATGAATCAAACCATCCTGGTGGTTTGTCAAGAAGAAAACTACCCGACATGACTTATCACCTGTATACCGTCTCTCCTCAGCCATACCCGTCGGGAATCAAACATGAATAACGGTCAGATCAGCATGGCACACCATGTAAGACATTCAGAAGAGAACCAAGTCTAAGTCATTGTGGAATACTTCAGCACAAAGTGGGATCAATAAAAACAGTCCAGACTTTTCTTGTGTGCGCGGGCATAAGAAAAGTCCTCCGGTATTGTTCTTGAGTTCCACATCCAACAACTCAATCAGCATAACAACCAGGTCCCTAATGGTGAGTTCTTTGTTGAGTGCGTACTCATATTTATACGAATTTATCGAGCAATGTGGAATTCGTATTCTACAATAATGCCGTTCGTGTATGAAATAAAGCTACATTACATGAATCGATCAATGAAATGAGGGACCCAGAGATGCAAAACCAATGTTCATGCCAAAAGACCCAAAATTCGAAAAGGAAAAAAAAGAGCTATACTGATCAAAACAAGCTCTTGATGCCCACCGGACGCCATATACATGATAGGAGCCATTGCAGTCATAAATAAGATTAATAATCACTGTCTTGTCTGCACGGCTTTAATTTTTCTCAATTTTTTTCCATGGGTTGTTTCAAGTGATATACTTATATATTCAGATCGGTTGATTGCCAAGCAGTGTAAGTTTTTGAGAGAAAATGATTTGTCTAACCTGATATCATGACAAATGTTATGGTTGCAGGCTTCGACGCTCCTTATTTTATCTTTTTACTCTTTCTAGTTTGCTTGTTTTCTTAATTTCACATCTTGGGTTTCACATTTAACGCCCTACTTAGTACTCACAGTGTTCGACCGTTTTCTAATAGCTTTAAAATGTGGGGAAAAATGCTGGTTTAACTTATGGAGTGAAAGTCCTCGTTAGTAATTTGGAATAGATAGTTGAGTGGGCCAAGAAGAATGGAATTTGATGGTTTAGTCCTCCTTTGACGTCAACTGTCCTTCCACAGGGGCAAGTTGTCCGGCCGCCTTCAAGAACAAAATATCTTTGGCCACTTGACAAACCAAATATCGAGCCGACGTTAAAAAGGCCAGATTGAAAGAACAAGAAAATAGCTTTTGATTAACCCGATTGCGCCTATAACACCTAAAAATTATTATTTTTCTTGATGATGGCTTCTGTGTTTATGATAACGATCTCTATATAAAAACAGAGACAAAATATAACTCTAAACACCCATCATTATTTGTTTAATTTCATGCTTTCTCAGCAGTGAATTCATAATTTATTAGTGCAGGTTGAGATTGTATTTCAGCAACATTAAGTTTTCAGCGTTGTTAACTTACATCCCAGTCCTTACTTTAAAGAAGACTCGATGAGTCTTTGCAAATAGAGGGTCACGCAGATCAGACGTGCATATCACAATTCACGAGAAGTATATTTCTTTGTTAATAATTATTGGTTTACTAGTCAAAGTCATCTGATGAGAGCGAGATTTGAGAGGGACGGTAGTTCGAAAGAACGAAGTTTGCTAGTCTACTGAAAAATATGAGTGTTAAAACCAGTAGACAAAAGAAGTTTTAATTCGGAAACTAAAACGGAGTAAGGCTATTCAACAACTTGTTCCATGTCAATAGGCATGCGGCCCTGCTATTGAAGGGATTGGAGAAGTGGGGACGCTAGTATCACATATGCGAGTTGACGTACATCCCAGTCCTTACTCTAAAGAAGACTTGATGAGTCTTTGCAAATAGAGGGTCACGCATACCAGACAAGTAGATCACAATTCACGAGAAGTATATTTCTTTGTTAATAATTATTGGTTTACTAGTCAAAGTCATCTGATGAGAGCGAGCTTTGAGAGGGACGGTAGTTCGAAAGAACGAAGCTTGCTAGTCTACTGAAAAATATGAGTGTTAAAACCAAAAGACAAAAGAAGTTTTAATTTGGAAACTAAAACGAAGTAAGACTATTCAACAACTTGTTCCGTGTCAATAGGCATGCGGCCCTACTGTTAAAAGGATTGGAGAGGTGGGGACGCTAGTATCACAAATGCGGATTGACTTACATCCCAGTCCTTACTCTAAAGAAGACTCTATCAGTCTTTGCAAATAGAGGGCCACGCATACCAGATGTGTGGATCACAATTTTCGAGAAGTATATTTATTTGTTAATAATCGTTGGTTTACTAGTCAAAGTCATCTTGTGAGAGCGAGATTGAGAGGGACAGTAGTCCGAAAGAACGAAGCTTGCTAGTCTATTGAAAAGTCTGAGTTATAAAACCAAAAGACAAAAGAAGTTTTAATTCGGAAACCAAAACGAAGTAAGACTATTCAACAACTTGTTCCGTGTCAATAGGCATGTGGCCCTACTAGTAAAGGGATTGGAAAGGTGGGGGCGCTAGTATCACAGATGTGGAGTTCAACTCTCGCCTCTGCAAGAGGCAGAGCAGAAAGTCAGAGAGAAATGAGAGTTAGAAATGGGATAGACCAAAAAAAAATACAACTTATTTCGTGATTTCATGTTTTACTTTTATACCTCAAATGAAATTCAAACTGCCGAGTGCAAATCCGAAAGTCTAAAAAAAATTTGAATGTATTTTTTCAGCTCCAAGTGAACGAGTCTTAAACTCAAAAGGACTTCCTTTGAAGAAAAAAGTTGAGAATATAGATGATATTTCATGGTAATATAGAAAAAAGCTTTACTTTTTGTGGCGATCCCTTCACTACTTTTTTTTAACCAAATCTCTGCACTTTCATTTTTTCTAATCAATTCCCGATAATACAAAAAATTTTAATTAAGTCCCTCAGTTACGATGATGCCAAGATGTATGGAACATCAAATAAAATAATATCTTTAATAGCAAATAATAGCAAATAACGTCGAGATGCGTTGAATGGATAATTAAAGAAAAAGGGTTTTCTGATCTTGTCTAGGTTAAGGACCCCAGTTCGGAGGATACAGGAAAAAAGAGACTAATCAATGTAGGTTCCATTAACCGAATCACCACCTTGGTAGGCGTCACGGGGCAGAATTTTAGCCACCAAATTTTCAGCCCAGTGTTGTCGGC